CATCGGTCCTTCTGGACGGGATGGAGACCTGTTACAGCGCCGACCGGAAGCAGTACAAGCTTATCGTCCCGTTGTACTACTACCACTAGCGGGGTCCGGGATGGTATAGTTTTACGACATTTAAGGATGGCCGGGATGGATAGTCGCTGGAGAAAGCCAGCGACTGAGTGTGACAGGCCATCATCGTCTACGACATCGCTGCCCATGAATCGTTCGAGGAAGCCACCCAACGACGGGGCCCTTAAAGTGCAGAAGGAAACGGGATCGAACGACGGGGTCAGCATGACGCTGGTAGACAATAACATCACTTTGGAAGGGAACTCCGGTTGTGCGATAGGAAAAAGACTATCCTCGGTGCTCAAGGCGTAGCTAGAGAGTGACAAGAGTGCGTCGGCGCCGTTTGTCTTAATGTCAAAGCGGCTTATTGATGAGGAAAAGCCGCGTTACCCAAGCGCGTGCCATCGTTTACATTGAATGGCTTCCTGGCAAAGAAAAAAAAGGCTTCCTGTTGTTTGTTTTTCAAAAGCAGTGGATATTTTGGGAATGTTACGAAGCAGCTGTCGCTTTGCCTCCTCACTACTTGTGTTCTTCGGCCTATTTAGACGATTGATTTATACCAGTTCATAAGGTTGCTTATGAGATTTCGGCGAAATCTGTTCAATAAATTCGGATAGCGCAAAGAAGCGATTTTTTGAACTAGTAGGTACATATGTGATTTTCGAGCAGCCGTTGAAAATTCCCTGTATACCTAATGACTTTACTCGTAAATGCTGAAAAATTTTTGAAACAAGGGCTCACCGGAAATGCGACTGGTGATGCCTCCAACATTCAAATTATGCACTCACAGCATGGCAGGTCCGCATGCACCAGGCAGTATTACAGCTGGTTCGGCCACGTGTTTACCTAACGCTCTGTTCAACAGTCAGTTTTAGTACGTAACTGTTTTACGTAAGGGCTCTGTGTACTCGACACTATTAACAAGAGATACCATGAGCAAGGTCTATTTTTAAAAAAATTTTAAACAGTCATTTTATACGTAACCGATCACTCGTATAAATTATTCGAACGCAGATTTACGCAGTTATGTTTAAGTAGATAGCGTAACTTGAGGCGAAAGCTTTTTAACTATTTAGTCTAACACGAGTTTTAACACCTTATCCACTTTTAGTTTCCGCCTGGGAAGCTGTATCTCACTCTCGATTATGTAGTATGTACTAAAAGAGGACTCACAAGAAATTTAGCAAACGCAGAAAATTTAGCAGACCATATAACGGGATATTCCTTAATGTTTATTGCACAAGTAGGCAGGTAATCCATTCCCGTCGACTGAGTCGAGGGTCGTAATCTTGTTTGGGAATTTAAACCTGGCAAAAAGTGGAAAAGTAATATTCGGTGATGAAATTACAGCAAAAGCCACTCAGAAGAGAAGTACCAGATCTTGAGCCTATCAAGCAATGGCAGCGTAAGTACTTCAATGCATTACGAAAGCCAGCAAGTGAACGGATGTTACGGATATCAGTACCGCTCGGAATCAGCCGGCTCAAAATGTTGTTCAGCTTCCAAACCAGAGTCGATTTTTCCATGTTGTTGCTGCTGTTGTTCATTTCATTTACTGCTGTGGATTTTGATTTCATTCAGTGGTTTTATCATGTACAGTCTACAGAGTATATAACATTTCCATTGTGCGGCATTTGAAAACGCTTATCTAGATAAATAACACGCCAGTTTGAAACCAGAAAACTTTATTACTGATGAACTCGGAAGTTTTGACGGATGATTAGCTCTGCGACTATGCCGGTGCTGGCGTTTGACAACTTGTCTCAATTCAACACCCATTAGCAATCTGCCAGTGACTTTTAGGCACAAGCGAATTTGCGAACATATTTTTTTTTACTAAGTAAGTAATTTACGTTCTCCGATTGCACACGTCACAAACTTTTTATTCTTTACCATAGTGGTGCTGGAACTTTGATTTCGCTTATAAGGTCATCACCGCAGTACCAGTCATAAAAATTGTACTCAAAGACTCCCTCCTTTATGAAGGTGAATGGACCCAGCACTTTCTGTATCGTCGCATCGCGATCTTCCGCCCGTTCTGCACTGCCGTTGAGTTCTTGACTTGGATAGTGCTGTAAGAGGTCACGAGTGAAGTACTGCGGCCAGCGAGGAAATCTACGGATTTGATCCATTGTAACTTTAGTTTCCGCCAGACTCTTATCCTTCCAGCTACCTATGCCGCCCTCCAGGCCAACGTACTTATGAAAAAATTATCGCAAGGTCTCTAATTTCTATCCTGTGTCGTTTGTTTGCTTGTATTGATGTTTTAAAACCGTCTCGTCCTTTTTTACTGAATGTAATGAAAGCAATTTGCAGATCTTTGATAATACACAGAGCTGGAATAAATGAAGTCGAAATAAGCATCCCGCGTTATGCATCCTTCGTGTTCGAATTACTTCATTTGAAAGGCTTCATTCGTGCCGCCAAAGTAGTTTGGACGTACAGCAGGTGCGTTTAATTAAATTTCACGAAGAATTAATTACGTGATACTTTTTATTACCCCTTGAAGAACTCTGGACATGATTTTTAGGATTCCGCACCCTGAATATTTCTATCAATTTACAACTCAGGGACCGTTGCATCTACGGTCGGATGAAAACTGTAATACTAAATTTGGATAAGTTATTAAACGGCAATACACGCGAGGCTGCAAAATTTAAACTAAGATGCTATCACACTACCTGCTAACTGTCATCTGACCAGAAATACAAACGGAAAATTAATGGAAATAAAATTGTGGGCTGATATTTAATCTGAAAAAAGTAAATTATGTCGTCTCTAGCGTTCTGTGATAGGCCAAAGTTGCTTTTTTTATCGTAGAAAGAATCCCGAACTGAGAGATTCTAGAAAGCTGAAAACTAAAAAATATCGTATCTCGTACGGAAAGTAAACAAAATCTGATTTCGTACATTTTTAAGAGGGTTTGGCAACATGGCATAATCAGTGACACTAATTGCATTCAGTATAATATATTCAATAAGTTGAACCGTGAATAACACAATGTTTGGAACGCTCCGAAGGAGAGAACTGATAACTAAAAGGACGAATGTTCCGAAAACAACCCTGATTAGGCCAAAAGTGACACGAACTTCACAATTTTTGTTCGTATAGTTTTTCATCAAACGCTGTAATTATTACTTTCTACAAGAACTTAAAAAATAAATTACTCGACTAAAATAATGATTTTCCTTTCCATACTGCCTTAAATGACACGGAGGTAATATAATCGGCTGAAAAGTTATTTTTTTCGAATGCCCTTTGTTACTTTGTATCAATTTCGACAATACGTTAACTATGGTCATATCTAGGTCGTATATCTTTTGTGGTCATATATGTATCATATGTGGTCATAACTTGTCCGCAATGGGCACCCTTAAACATCTGGTAAGCGCGTCATTTTAGATTTTCGATAATCCCGCGACTGCGGCAGCCGTCCTGGGCCGACCAGGCAGCCCCGATCACAATCTCGCAATACGCCCATTTCCGGCTGCCTTACAAGACATCCAGCCACTTGCGCCAAATTTTAAATTTTTAATTCCAGTTCGAATTTTGCATATTTTCGCTATTTAACTTTCACGTTGGCTGATCAATACGATTTTTACTTTTATTTATTCCAATAAAATGCTTGGGTTGACTCATTTTTATTTCGACGTATTATGATCATTGACACCATCAGTAAACTACAGTTCAAGTGCTGCAGCACGTTCAGCACATTGACTGAAGCGAGTTACCAGCCCCGTCGGCCCCAGCAGTTATCGAAGTGCGTTTAGATTCCTTCTTTAGATACTTAGCAGCTAATGCCAGCTATAATGTTGAGCTATCTGGAGTCGACTCCCAAATCTTTAAGAAAAGTTTCAAGTTGAGCTGATGGCAGTCGCAGGATAATGTGGTGAAAATTTAGGTAACAACAAGGTTTCGACACAGCAGTCTAGCGTACACAGGTCCCAGGCTAATCCTTGAACCCAACAGAAGAAAGAATGAAAGAAATGAATCGACTTCAACGCTATAGCAATTGACACAATGAGAATGGGATGCCTTTCCAAAAAACGTGAGATACTTCCGTGCAAATCTGGAGCCAACCAGAAAGCATAATCGTAACGATTCCACTGTGCTGCCAGGGTAAAGTAACCGTGACAAACGCGTAGAAAGTCATCCAGTTATTATCCCACACGGGGCACATCACATTATGTAGTGATTCCGAGGTCGACCTCGCAAGCAGTTGAAAATTTCCAAACTGGAAATCTTAATATTAACCAGGCGAAAAATAAAAAAATGTATGCGAAACCTTACCAAAAACTGAGAAACGTAGACAAACTGAGAACCATGAACTGTGGCAACAAGCGATTTAGCGCATTCAGTGATAAAACCTGTTTGGAGAGACGAATGCTGCACGGAACAAGTGTTTTTTTACAGTCACCCTCTTGCGAGACTTCCCTTCCAGTTTTCGAAGAAAATTTATCCCAGCGCTTTTGTAGGGGTCAGTTTGTATCGGATAACAAGAACTAACATCGTACGTCGAGAGAATACAAAAACAAAATTCTGTTCACCTGTAAATAGAGGAAACATGCATAAAGTGCGGTTCTACATGGTTCCTCTTTTTGTTGTCTGTCGTTTCAACGCCAACGTTTTCATAAAACTGCTCTACATTGTTTTGTAGCCGCTAAAATTCCCTAGGAATACATAGGTAGTTAAAGAAGGTAGGGTAAAAACCTGAGTTTCTGTGAATTTTTTAAGCATTTATTGCGCCTGCGCGGCAGTAGAAATTGAACAACAACAGATTTGAAGAGTTAAATTTTAAATCAGCAATGAAGAACATGATATGATGAATTAAAGAACTATGTTTTCCGCTTATTTTTCTGCGAACAGATCAGCTACGGTAGCCGTTGCCATCCGGACTCCGGATGGCAACGGCTACCGTACAATTATTTATATTCGTTCCAGTTTTCTATGTGCAAACAGTCTGACGTCCGGTTGATGTCAGTGAAGTGCGCTAAACACAAACAAATCAAACAAAACCAACATTCTAGTCAAAATTCATTTGTGAATAAAAAAGCTTTGACATACTCCAGTCGACATGAGAAAACAATTTTATGTAGCCGCTCAGTATTGTAATTAACGAGCTAGTTGTCGACTACAAGAACAGACTGACTTTCACCAGACAGTTAACAAACAGGATGTGTCTCATTGATGCTGGGATGCCGCTCGTTGGCGTCACCACTGGCATCTCGCAACGGCGTGGCTTCTGGCATGCATCGTTAAGCTACTGCCTTAGTGCAAGTCTGTTCGCACAGTTTCACAACGACGCACTGCAGATCCTGGTAGTGGTTGCTGATCCATTCAGTTACAATTTCTCGCAGTTTCATGACCCGGTGGTTTGGCAAAGTAGAGGGAGTACTAGTAATAGCCGGTACGGTGGAGGCTTCGCTGTCCACTACGTTATAATGTGGTGAGAAGTTACGCACTTCGATTTCGGGAGATAGCGACCGCTGTGCATCCGCTGTATTCGTTTGGCGGCTGTTTGCAGCAGCAACTACATTAAAGAGAGGGTGAAAATTAGTATCATAAAACTGGCAACCCTGTTTGCGCCCAGGGCTTAGGAGCCACTAACAAGTACTATATTATGCGAAAACATCGGTACGTCGACGGTTTTCGCTTTCCGGTTTTCACTTTCACAGTCTGGACTCGCGTACCGGTCACCGAGACTGGCATTCGTGAAGCTTGTTCCAGATGGCAACGACTTTGTAAAAACTGAATGCCTGACAATTACTGTTTTCGTACAAGCTTTTACACGAGTAATCATAAAACAAATTATCACGTTTTCTAATATGGAACAACGCAGAAAATGCCGTATCTCTGGTGTCTGGTACACGAATTCATTGTCAGCGTGTTCGGAAAGCGAAAAACGCTAAGGTAAAGCCTTCCGAACGACTGCGCCTTAGAAACCACAGTCTTCCACATGAGAAATTCGCATTGAGTACAGTCAGTACACTATACAATTTACTGGACCATACACGAGCACCACGTTTACCACATACCAGATTGGCTTTTCCCGGAATGCCGGTTACTGACTTCCTTTTCGACACCATGTGCAACTAGAAGCATAATGCCCGTGCTTTCTTCTTCGTGCAACTCTGCTGAGGGACCATAACAGTCTGCTGAGGAACCAAAATAATCTCTAGCTTCCCGGTTGCAATCGGTGGGGCGAAGTCTTTTCGCCAATAAACGAGCGGACCTTCGCCGCTTGGGGACAGCGCCACGACAGTCATCATCCGTATCGCCTAATGGCTGTGTAATCGAACGTTGAACGAGACCATGCGATTCCCGCTTCGACTTCTGGCACCCTTGCACTATGTCACCACAACCGAACTCGTTAACCTGCCGTGCCTGGATGGCCTGTTCTTCGTGGGGACTATTTAAATCCGGTCCGGAAAACGCAGTGCTCTGTGAAGACTCATCCGACGTGTCTTGGTCGGCATTCTTCAAGATCTGCCATATGGTCCATGTACCGGTTTTGACCTCCTTTGCGATCCCATCCCAAGACAACCCCTCGGCACGCAGCTTCAAAACAGCATCTCGCCTCCGCTGGGAAAGCTGTCGATGGCGTTCCTGAAACGATTTTCCGTTCTGCCGCAATAATATCTTCAAAATGCTTTCGGAGATTCCAAACTTCTCCCGGATGTGTGGCCCACTGTGGCCTTTGTCGAAGCACTTGAGTATTTCTGCTTTCTGCTCCTGGCTGACATTGATTGTATCCCGCGCGGCAAAGCTGTGTCCAGCGCGGCTAATTACAGCAACCACCGCGTCAGCTTCGACGTTAACCTCGCGCATAATATTTAGTTTTGAGTAGCCGCGATGGAACAGTTGGAGAATGGTTGTTCTCTGCTCTTCCGTAACGCCGGCGATTCGCAGGATGCGCTTCACGGTAGTCAAGCCAAGGTTGAGCTGCTTCGCAATTTGCGCGGGACTGTTTTTCCCTTTGCATGCCAGCCTGATGATGTTCTGCTTCTGCTCCTCGGTCCGCGTCGCACGTCGTCGTGTTAATCGTTCCTTTTCGAGAACCGCTCGCAGTGCATTAAACCCGATGCCCACGCGTGCCGCGATTTCCTGCCGTGTAAAGCCGGAGCTGCGTAGTTCGCGAATCATCTGGTTTTTTTCTTTATTCATCGTTTACTTGTCGGAGCTTGTTGTACAGTATGTTGTATTGCTCAGTAGACCTGCGAACAGTAAAGCAAAAGTTGTTTTTTCACTGGCACGAAGAACATATAGCCGAACGATGAGCAGAACACCAAGTCTGCTAGCGCTGACTTAACTGCCAACTGTGGACGGCTGTCATGACAACATGGGTAACCGTCAACCGTGGTAGACCACCGTGGCAGTGACTAGTTATTTTACACTACAGCCCTCCACGGTTGACTGTTAGGTATGTTTGCCAGGGTAAGCAACTAACCATCCACAGCTGACGGTAACGCACGTTGGTAGGGCATTCATCCACGGTTGACTGTCACGCCAGCCGTCAGTGGACTTGGTGTTCAAGTTACCGTTGTTTTATCAAATGATTTACTGTATTGTCGAGTCAACTTGCCACCTTTTTTTACAGTGAGTCGTATCCGATTAGCATACAACTCACAGTACTTCAAAAACGACTTATCGTCGATCCAGAGTAGACATGCAATCGACTTAACGGTAAGCGTTAAGACGCTTTTGTAAGTCCGTTGTTTATACGAGTATAGAGAGTATTGTTACCCACCCTCAGCTGTAAGCTCAGATCTACCAGAAAGTGGTGAAACCAAAAGCGAGAAAAAACCCAACAGTTCCCTGTAAAAATACTGTAACAAGGTGCATAAGATTGTAGTCGGGGTCACAGCTGAATAGTGAGAATGTAATTTTTTTTTATTTAGGTCGCTTGTTATTACTTTGTGGAGAGAATTAGTACAAAGCGTTTCTCGTTCATTCTAGCAGTTTATCATTCTAGCAGGATCGAGTAAAACTTGCAAAACGTTCCTGCATCATGCTTACGTAATTATAATATTGTATTACAACGGATCCTCGAAATAAAGTATAAAAGTCCCCATCCAAATCCCTTACTAAAAAATAGTAACGCTGATTCGTATATTCACAGAAACGATCTGTGCGAGTTTGGACCAAGCTTTACACAAAACGTTAAAAGAGAAATACTGTATGTTTTTGGTAGCGCTTTTCCTCTATATTTAAACAGTAATAAGGTAATTTATGCATGTTCCTAATACAGTTATACAGATGCAGATATAACTAGAGAACCACCAACGTAATAACCCACCTCGAACGATCAGTTAAAAAGCGAGAACGTCGTCCTTCCACAGTTCCACGTACAATTCTGACCACAGCAGAACGCTAATAATATCATGACATTAGTACCTGTTCTCTAATTACATTATCCTGGCCAGGTTTCGTCAATAAATTTCCGATGATAATAATGAGGTACGGGCGCGATATTACAGCTCAAGAAACAAGTGAATCTGACGGAAGGTGCTGGGCTTTCTAATATCGTTATTAACTTATTACCGTACAGTGAACAGCCTGTAGACGAACACCAACTATGTAGGCATCCGCGTTCACATCCGCCAAGTTCAGTTGATCACTGACAAAACGTGCTGACGATAAGCCTGAAGGTACATAGAGAAACATCGTGCTGCAGCACAGCAATGCGCGTAAACGCCAAGCAGAAGATAGAGCACAGACTGAACAGGTGCGCAGCTGAGCTACAGAACAATTCCCCTGACAATGATAATTTCCGATAATAAACTAGATACGACTATATAAACTTGAACTACAATAAACTTGATATGTTGTGCAACTACAGTATTTAATTTGCTCTGCCAAAGGGTAACCCATCATAAAAGCTATATTTGGCCGATGGAGCAACCGATGCCGCTTAATTACACAATACTGAAAATCGAAACGAAAACGTACATTGGCGCACGCTTTATCAGACACTTTACAAGATGTCACCAAGACAACAGACCTAGCCCGCTATTAGGCGTTGCCTTTTCCTGTGTGCCCGAGAATCGCGGCATAAGAACGTTCCGACATATTTCGCCAGGCATGTTTAACAGGAATACTTTCGCTATACGAGATTATTAATTTTAGAAACGGTCAGCTGCATTGATCGCACCAGGCCTGTCGCGCGCAGCAGAGTCAAAAATTTAGCCTTTCATGCAGGTTGTGGGCTGGATAGGAGGATACTTATCGCCGGACAGTTTTCTATCAAAATGAGTAACGCTTGATGTCACAAAAGCTCTATTTTAAACCAGAAATGAATTTATGAAAATTTTTCTTGCGCTAAATATAAGAATCTGGTTTCTACAACAGGGTAACTGTGTTTCACCTTTTTTTGCGAGCGTAACGAAAGCGATAAGCTTATACCACCGTATCCATCTCTGTTCATGAATTTGCAATATTTAATGTCTTGTCGATTGAATTCTAACTTTTACCGGTTTTCTAAGGTGCATTCCTACACCGAGCGTTTTGATAGGTAGGTAAGAGTTTCCACATGGCCACGAACACTATCGCTTCACGATATCAGTGCCTTTGTGTGTGTACATGGGAGCTTATCAGATTTAATTTTGCTGAGTTCTTCAAGTTGAGGCAACCGGAAGTTGGGTAAGTAAGCTTTATATTTGAGGCGATATTCTGCTTCCAGAATATGTTATTCCTCATAGGTTACCAACAAAGCGTAAATTTTTGGCCGCTCGGTGTTTTTGGCGTTCTCGAATCATTCATCATGTTTAAAGTGTGCTTCCGAACCGGTTCTTTGGTCGAGGGAGCACGTTCTTCATGAGAGATTTACGTATACCTACATCTGTTACATAAGAAGGGCACTGGTTTTTGCTCTAAATGGCTCTAACTACAGAAGCCCATTTCACACACAAAGTCATAGTTATACAAAGAAAATCACAAGCCAACCAGTATTAATACCGAGAAAATATCGCCAGTGGTTCAAATTTTGTGCTATAATAAATGTAGGTTTAAGAATTAAGATGAACATTTTAGCGCTTAATATATCTACGAGTTGAAATCAAAGTGGCTCAGCGTGCCTAATCCTGCCCATTGGCACATGCGCATTTTTTCATTTTCTTCTGCTTACAGCCGTGACTCTATTGTGAGAGGAGCTTATTCTGAGCTTATATCTGGAGTTGACGGCTGTTGTAGTCCAGATATAAGCTGTAGCTCTGCTAGTTTTTAAGTGCACTTCCGGTACAGATATCGTTAATGTGTTATCCGCGTTAGAAACGTATTAAAATCCTGCACTACGATTTCAGCCATACCTTCCGGTCGTATAGGAAATTTCATCACGACACCTAAAGCGTGTTATGTAAATCACAGAATTAGTCATACGAGTATAGGTAATGCTATATGGTCATGCGTTAGCTCTCATGTGATCTAGATCAATATTTTTGCCTTTCCCATACCCTTGTGTCGTCGCTGCGCTGCGCATAAGCGATTTTCTCACACAAAGTCGATTACTTGATATCCTGTTATTTCCGGTTTGGGACGTGTTACGTATATAAGCTGTGTGTTTATTTGTTATATTAAGTTTCTTGATGAGAGTTTTCAAGGTGTCTAAAAGCGGTTCTGTTTCTTGCTTACTGCTTGTGTAGGTACTATTGCCAGAACACCCAGTTGGAGACAGAAAATTTAGCCAGTCCGGCTAAATTTTCTATGTCAACCAATATTACCGTTTCCAGCCATTGCATACCCATTTACAGTTCTCACCGGACGACGGTTGAAGTCCAACAACTGGGCAACAGTTTGTAGACACCACACCTTTCGTGGTCAAGGTGGTGTTCTTAGGTTTCTTAGAGATTTTGGTTAAATTCGTGGTAAGTAAATTTGTGCTTACAAAAGAAGAAATTGTTAAGCCTTGCAAGTTTCAAAGCTTCCACGTGTATCCCGAATTTCATAACATCCGGTATTATAGGCAGCGACTGTCCAACTTAATCGAATACGGTTTAAAATTGCAGTAAGTCTGAGCAAGAAGCTAACTATTTGACCGCCGCGAGCCTGCAAGAATGTTTGCCGAATTCAAGAGGTCCTTTTGCGGCAAACCAGTTCCTTCACCGCATTGTGGTCCACGCGACGGCCATGGTATTCTTTGAGAATGACATATCCGCGAAACTGCAGCTGGATAATCGATCAATAAAGTTCCGTGGCAGGTACCACTCTTCTAGCTGCAGAACCTGCAGGTTCTGCTACTCGGAGAATGTCTCCTACCATGGGAGCACGACGAAACACAAGGAGAAGCTGATCTGTGCGCGATTGAGGGTGAAATGCCGTACCGGTGCTGTGAGTTTCAGGAGCCGCGTGACTTTTTTAAGCCGGCGTTAACTCAAGCAAAGAAATCTAACGGGAGACATTTTGATAGGCGGAGCTTAAAGCGGGGCGAAGCGCGGATTAGCACGGTCAATGAATTTAGGTATATATGTACCTGTCGATCGACTGGGCTAACTCGCGACTTCCCAGTCGCTGTGGGCACATGATCGTGGGACCAGAACTCCTGTATTCGAGCCTTAGATTCGTTTGCCGTCGATTTTGCGCCTGCTCCAGATATTTGCGTGTAACCAGCTGGACGCTTTGCTTTTAACTGATTGCTTTTGTACGAGAACTGAGCGGTATGCATGTATCTGTAGTTGCTGACCGTATAATTATATGAGTTGTTAAAGCGGACAACGCACGCTATCTGCACGGCACAAAATTTCCCCGAGTGCCGGATGCAACTGCGCTGGACGTTATAGTTTACAAGAAACAGCTTCGGCTTCGCCTCCGCGTTTCTTGTGGTCTACGGTCGGTTCATAACTTCATTCGCACAGTTTCGATTAGATTATCAAGTAGTTAGCACTTAGCACCTTACATTCGGCAAAGCATAATGGGTAAAATTGTTCACATATTGCGCACCTCCCTCGCATGGATGTTTCCACAAGAGCTATACAGACTCGACCAGGTATTTCGCGAGGCGGTCGAGATCATCACCAATGTCAGGATGGACCACCCAACATGGCTCCAGGCCTCCCTTCCTGTTCATTTCGGTGGTTTGGGAATCAGACACACCGAGAAGCTAGCTCCCTCTGCCTACCTGGCATCGGCTTCTTCGTTGCACCAACTGATTTCCAGATTATGCTCGACACTGACGGCAACGGATGTCATCACCGCCACGCGAGCCTGGAAGTTAGAGGCCGACACTGACGAACTTCCGATGGAGGCTTTCCGACACGTCCAGAAAGCTTGGGACACTCCCACGACACTGCAGACATTCTCAAGGCTGACCGCACTACGAACTTCACAGGAGGAAGTCGCACATCTTACATTGTTAAGGCGGTGTCAGTCCCGGAAGCAGGCGTGTGGATCCATGCTTTACCGGCAGCGTGCCTCGGTAATCTGTTAGACGACAATGGTTTTCGCATAAGTGTTGCGGTGCGTCTGGGCGCACCGATCGTCACTCCACACGTATGCGTTTGTGGTGGGCTGGTCGACGAGTTCGGCCGGCACGGACTTTGCTGTAAGCGGTCTGCCGGAAGATTACCACGACACGACGGAATCAGCGCGGAATTCGCCTGGTGCCTGAAATCAGCTGGCTTCCCTTCAAGAATACAAGAATAGAACCAAAAGGTCTATCCCTCAAAGATAAGAAGAGGCCGGATGTGATCACCCTTTTTCCGTGGAAGCGCGGAAAACCGCTGGCAGTGGATGTTACCTGCGTGGACACGCAGGCGGCCTCGTATGTCGACCGCACTTCCGTGAATGCCGGCGCAGCAGCCCAACTTGCGAAAAGGGGGAAACTGGCAAAACACGCCTGGATGCAAGCAAGATACGATTTCGTTGCTGCAGCCTTCGAAATTTACGGACCCTATGGAGACGGAACTAAAACGCTAGTGGACATGGTTGTAAATGGTATAGCGACTTCAACTGGTCAAAAGCGGGCAAAAGAGTTTTTAAACAGCGAATATCTATGCAGATACAACGGGGAAACGCGATTTGTGTAATGGGTACGATCCCTGATCAGGACTGCATAAAGGAAGTGTTTCTTTTGTAAATTCGGTTTTGTTCTGGTGCATAGTTTGTACTCGTACCGTGATACTTATTAAAGGTTCGGTGGGTAAATTGTGAAAGCGTAAAACGGAATTTTTATTAAAAATCAGTTTATCATTTTCACTCCGATGCATTCCATTTGTTTCTACAAATGCTTTGTTTATTATATTTCGAAGAGAAAGGACACACGAAATCTTACTGTCTACATGTATCAGGTGCCAGATTTCAAATAACACTGTTATTTGTACGCATGAACTGGACGGTAGCTGAATTTTGTCACTCACTCATTCACTCATCTAGCAAGCTCTATTCAGTGGCACTGGTGCTAGTCCTGCCATGAACTGTCATGAACTCAATTATCCGGCTCCACGCACCGGGCAGTAGTAGTTCAGTCACTCACTCAACGAGCTCCGCTCACTGGACACTGGTGCTAGTTCGATTACTCACTCACCTACACGGCTCTGTACACCGGACTGTAGTAGTTCGGTCACTAACTAACGTAGCGATTTCGTTCACTGGACTGTGGTGGTAGTTTGGTCACCTACTCACCCAGCAATTTTGCTTACTGGTAACAGGGGTAGCCTGGTCACTCACTCACGGTTCAATTTTGCTCACTGGGT